GTCCCAAGTATATCACGAAATTTATAGTATGTTCATGAGGGGGAGAAAGGTTAATACCCGTGGTCCATGTACATACTACATATTTCGAGAACTATGGTCTATGACCATATCCGGAATGGCTTGGCTAAACCCTTTTGATGGTTGACGACCAGTCTAGGACTTGGGGACATGTTTTACATGTACATAAGGTTATGCATCATGCCATATAAGTGAGCATAGATATTCCCATCTCAGATTGAATAAGGGTCATGTACCAGACATACAATCTTAAGAGATATCGAATGAACCACCACATACAAATGTGCCATATAAGATTGAGGATTGGGAATATATGTTGGATATGAATGTCTTTCTCCCACAAGTTTTAAGAGACCTTGAGCCAAACATGGGTGATCAGATTGTGGCAAGGTACACGGATTGCATGAGGCAATGAATCCGACTATCCAACATTAGATGGAGAAAGTAATAAGCTGGACAAAGTAAAGAGAAATAGAATGGTATTGACCATAAGTGTCTTGGCAAGATCCTCGGACCAGAGAAATGATTTAGGACGTCCATATGATGATACATGGCTAGTAGAGCTAGAAGCCAGACACATTGACCCGGAACATGACTATGTCATACCAGCTTTGCACCAACGTTTTTGTTGTCCTTGTGAGACACAATCAAGTTGCTAAAGAGTCTATTAGAGATAGACCAATATGTTCCATAAGAAAAGGAACCTCGGAAAAGAGAAAGGTGCATAGAATATGATATCCGAGGTCACAATGGAAACCAGACCAGACATTGAGATAAGGCTGCGCAGCTAACCATCTAAGGTACCAAACATGTAGCTTGGGACGCCAAGCTGCAAGTTTATGAAGGTCCTAGATAATAAGATCTCACAATGAATTAGATCATGTCTGGAACACAAAGGAACACAAAGGAACTATATGAGAGTGTTAACACCAATGATATGTTTANGCAAGTTTATGAAGGTCCTAGATAATAAGATCTCACAATGAATTAGATCATGTCTGGAACACAAAGGAACACAAAGGAACTATATGAGAGTGTTAACACCAATGATATGTTTATATACATGAGATCTCATACAAGCAAGTAGCACTTGAGTTTAAAGATATAAACGAGGATCAGTACCCACGTAAGAATGAGAATGCATGCATGGACTAATTGAGTCAATAGTACACGTGAGGTTTGGTGTATATATAGAAGAGATGGGCGTATGGCCATATATATAGAGAGACGCCATCTATGATTAAAACCAGTGTATATTGGGTCTTGTGAGGTAAAAGAAATCGTGAGACATAGTACATGATCATGTGGTCTAAGGTGTTCATGTTACTACTAAAAGCATTCAAGAATTACTTATTATTGCACAAGGATACTCACAGAGACCATTGAACAAATTATAAGGATATGGAATCCTATGTGGTGGATGCTACTACACAAATCCGAGTTTGATAAAAGTCTGGTCATAAAAAAGAGATTTGTAGTGAGCAATATATGGATCACTGGATATATAAAAGTATCAGAGGATATTGAGTTCAAAGATTACATAAAAAGATATCAGTGTATGGTTGTAATCTGAACCTCTAGATACATGTCCCAAAACAGTTGAAATCTCGAGATTACAAGAGATTAAAAGGACCTAGGTATAAAACGAAACTGTTTGGGTTTACTACTTGAATGTAATCCTTGTGTGTATCATATGGCATATGAGAAAAGTAGTCAAGAGTTTTGGTAATGACCAAAACCATGGACATAGTCCAAAGAGAGACAAGGAAGAAGTCCTTGATCTAAAAATGTCATATTTCGGTATCTTAAGAGTTTTGATGTATCTAGCAAGCCATACTAGTCCTAGATACATGTTTGCTATCTAAAGTTACCAGGAAGGACTTAGACATTGTCCATGATTGATGGCGTGGACATACCTTGGCCAAAGGTTCATGCCGACCATGACCATGACCGGTTCCAACCGATCTTATCTTTTATAAGTAATATTGGGCAGCAATGTATTAGCCACTCTTTGGCAAGTTATGAACGTGTGTGGACAAGGTCCATAAGTAGAATTGTTCATGTTCCTTATACTCCAGCACGTGTTTTAGTTCATGGCAAGAAAGGTCATGAGACATCATCAAAGAAAAGTATGTACCGTGATGATTTTGAGTTATGCATGGGACTGCAATGCAAATATGTGCCATTATGTGTTTATCAGTGGATAATCAAGAACCATAATGACCAAGATAGGTGACCAGAAGTGTGTCTGGTCGTGGTCTAAACTGTATAGCATTGCAGAATGCAAAAGTGATCAGACCATAGAGTTCATGAATGTGTTTTGGTCGAGACTCATCCGACCAGAACCTAGTACGGTCAAGACAAAGAAAGCATGACCGTATGGACTAAGGTACCCATGTGAAAGACAAGTGTTTTGAGTCTATAACTCAATATATATGAGGTGTCCACGGAATGGCTAAGGCCATATGACTAGATGATCCGTGGGACATGAGTGGACCAGCGAAGTAATGACTGATCGCATATTAGAGTTCCATCCGAGAACTGGTCGAGTACCAGCCATCCGACCAGGACTTAGTGTGGTTAGTTGCACGACTGAACCAAGTCCTAATGGAGTTCCAGAAGACATAGAAGACGTCCAGACCAGAGTAGTACTCACACATGAGTTTTTCCAGAAGATATCAGAAGTTCGAGTTCGGTCCAGCAGCAATCTAACCGACCAGTTTTCTACCGACCAGATTGGGATGCATCACACATTTCAGTGATGCATTCATCAGGGGGAGTATCATGTGTTGTACTCTTTTTCCTTGTCTGAGGTTTCCATTTTTCCCACCTCGGGTTTTTGGTTTTCCTAGAGAAGGTTTTAACGAGACAACATTAAGCATGGTACGGCCCATATGGTTAGGCCATCCAAGGGGGAGTGTTATGGACGAGTTTATGGATGGGCCTTAACCATTAGTTAGACTTAGGACTAGCCCAAGGTCGTGACCCATTAGTCTTGTAGGCGGCTAGGTTCTATTTCCATTCTTATGTATTTCCAATTCCTTGTTGCTTTAGGAATTGGATGTTTTCCATTTATCTCTTCTTGTAAGTCCTTATATAAAGGAACCTATATTCATCAGTAATAATAACACAGAGTATTCCCCATTACTTTCTCTCATTCTCCTCTTGGTTTACAACACATAGTTTATTTTTTGTATATATATAAATTACATTACAGAAGTTTGAGTATCTATACAATTCTTGGTTTGATTTGGATTTGATTCTAGAGATATAAAATCCATTAATATTATTAATAAATTTCAAACCGATTTAAACTTTATTTTTTGGTCGGGTTCTTTGGTTTCGGTTAATGTCCAAGTTGAATGTATCTACTGTATTAAAATAGAGTCACTATTTTTATCTACTACAAAAAATCATGTAGGACCATTTCATTAATTACTTAGTATGACATATTAAACTATTTAGGTTAATCAATCAAATATATATCATATATGCTGAAAATAATATATTTACATTCTATTTTTAGTTATAAGATAATTGGTTGAGAGAAAATCTAACAAAATCTTACTAAAAGTTTAAATATTTTATTATTAAATAACATAGTAATGAATTTCGTAATTAATAATATCATACTATTATACATTAATATTAATTAAAATTTCACTATAATAACAAAAAAAATAATCCTATACTATTTTATAAATTTCAAAGTAAAAAATTAAAGAATATTATATATTAATAATGTTGAATAAAAACCTACACCAATTAGATTATAAATTTACACAATATATAACATAAAAATATAAATTATATATTTCAAATATTTACATTAATATTAAAAAAAAAATTAAAAATGAAAAAATATACCCGCACGAATGTGCGGGTAAAAACTCTAGTAAGTTAAGTAAAAGTTTGTTTGAGAAAAGATATAAAATTTATAATGATATGGTTAAGCCCACTTGGGGTATAATTCACAGATCTCAAGGCTCCAACAAAAAAACAAACATTGTAAAATGTTTGTACAGAATGTGAGTCCATCATTAACCCATTTTGCATTTCATATGTTGGCTGGCTATCATCATTTTTTTTACTTTCCACCTTTTTTCTCTCGAGATTTTAAAAGAAACGTTTCATAATCACTATTAACATCTATACTATTAATTTTTTTTTAATCAAATAGAACAAAAGGTTTTCTTTTGTAAAAACCAATGACCTCGTGACACGTCAGTACATTATTCTGCATTTTCGGCTGTCAAATTAAAGAAAGACAGTCACACACACACACAGTTTCAACCCCCACACACCATTAGAACTTGGGCGAGAAGCAGAAAAATAAAAACCCTACTTTTTCGCTGGCTTACTGCTTCGCCGGAATCTGAACTCTGAAGAATCCATTTGCCGGAGACTTTCTTCTTCTTTGTTGTTTTGTCCTCTTAGTTATTATTATTATTTTTTTTTTTAACTTGTGGAGAAAAACGGCGTTGAAGCTCAGAGCTCTTAGTGACACCTTTGAGAGATAAAGAAAAGAGATAGAAAATTGAGGGAGATGTATGTAGTGCCTCCGCCTCAACGATCCGATTCGGATTCCAACGGTGACTTAAGAGTTTACCAAACTTGGAAAGGCAGCAATGTTAGTTAGCTTGTTCCCTTTTTTTAATCTAAATTTCTCTTCTTTATTATTGGTTTCTGCTGTTCTTGAGCTTTTCTCTGCTTTATCACTCTGCCTTAAATTCAAAACTGGAACTTTGTTTCTTGTAAAGATCCTAGGTTCTTATGTCGTTTTAACTTGATGTCATTGTCTCTTGATAGCTCAATCATTTTACTTTGGAGAAAACGGCTTTGGAATTTGAGATTATATATATAACTTTATACCTATTTATAGTGATTTTTTTTACTGAATATCCTTCTCTTTTGTACCCTCCCTTTTGCTTCACAACTTTGGATAAAGACTCTCAATACTTGTTGTTCCTGGCTTCTTCTCTTGCACATATTAATCACTACGTCTAGTTGGTGGTTCATACATGGGTTCTGTGTGATGTCATCACTCACTGCTGACATCTTTTTTCGAGCTGAGTCTTGTTATTAGGACATGTTTTCTCCAACTTTAATTGTTTTTTTTTCTTTCAGATATTCTTTGTTCAGGGAAGATTTGTATTCGGGCCAGATGTAAGATCATTGGCGATGACAATATGTCTCATTGCTGTTCCCGTTACAATTTTCTGCATCTTTGTCGCCAGGAAGCTAATGGATGACTTCTCTGATAGCTGGGGAGTATCTATATTAGCTCTTGCCGTCGTCTTCACCATTTATGTAAGTGACACCAAGGCATGCCTAAAATGATAAATGCATGGTGTCATTTCCTTTTGTATCCACAGCTTTTGTTTATTCCTGCAACTTGTTTCCACAGGATTTAGTTCTTCTGCTGGTTACATCCGGAAAAGATCCAGGAATCATCCCTAGAAATGCTCATCCTCCAGAGCCTGAAGCCTTTGAAGGCAACATGGAAGCAGGAGCTGGTCAGACTCCGCAGCTGCGACTGCCTCGCATTAAGGAAGTAGAGGTTAATGGAATTACATTTAAGGTCAAGTACTGTGACACTTGCATGCTCTATAGGCCTCCTCGCTGTTCCCATTGCTCTATCTGCAACAACTGCGTTGAAAAGTTTGATCATCACTGCCCTTGGGTTGGCCAATGTATTGGTCTGGTAAGATCACAAAACCAACTGAAAGTGTCTTTTAAACTAAAGATAATCATCTCATTATTCTCATGGTTGTTGCAGAGGAACTACAGATTCTTCTTCATGTTTGTCTTCTCCACGACACTTCTATGTATATATGTTCATGCCTTCTGCTGGATCTATATAAGGAAGATCACTGAATCAGAACATACAACTATTTGGAAAGCAATGCTCAAAACTCCTGCCTCCATTGTTCTGATAATCTACACATTCATATCAATGTGGTTTGTTGGTGGCTTAACAGCTTTCCATCTATATCTCATCAGCACAAACCAGGTAACATTGCTACATCATCATCCTTTTTTATAAACCATGAGTAACCGTTGATTTTTCCTTTGTCCTTTTGCAGACTACATATGAGAATTTTAGATACAGATATGATAGACGAAGCAACCCTCACAACAAGGGAGTAGTTAACAACTTCAAAGAAACGTTTTGCTCTGCAATCCCTCCTTCAAAGAATGACTTTAGAGCCTTGGTACATCGAGAACCTCCATTGCCTCCTAGATCTGTAGCAGGTGGGTTTATGAGTCCAAACATGGGTAAAGGCAACGATGATATTGAGATGGGAAGGAAAGCTGTTTGGGCAGACATGGGTCCAGCAATGCCAGAGCATGGTGATGGGAAACATAATAACAATGAGCGGTTACATGTTCAGGATGGTGAGTTAGGCGTGCTATCTCCTGACGTTAGGACAACGGTTGACGAACAGAGTGATAGGCCTGGGGTGCACACAAGGCGCTCAAGCTGGGGAAGGAAAAGTGGAAGCTGGGATATGTCGCCAGAAGTTATGGCTTTAGCAGGCAGAGTAGGAGGAGAACAAAACCAAAACCGTGGAGGAAGCAGCAGTGGAAGTGCTCAGCGGCCTACATAGTAGTCATTCAGATACACGATTTAGCAAGGAAGGAAGAAAGACAGAACATAGGCGAAGTTTATTCAAATGCTTTTTTTTTCTTTTGGTTTATTCAGCTTAAAATCAGTTAATGCAAGCTTGTGATTTGTGGAGGAAAAGAAGTTCCTAATATGGAATGTGTGTTATGTTGGCTTTGTTGTGGTAAGCAAAAGAGGTTGAACTGGTGTGTTGTTTTACATGTTTGTATGAGTGAGCTTCTTCTGGATTTTCAAACACTTGACCCGATGTGTATATGTAAATCATGACAGGGAGATCTTAGAGCATCTCCGTTGGAGGATTGTAAGGAGATCTTAGAGCATCTCCATTGGAGGATTGTAAGGGAGGTTCACATATTTTTCGAGGCAAAAAGTGGTGAACCCGTGTCGCGTGAGCTCGCCGTGGTGAACCCGAATCGTCACTGGTTCGCCATGTGGCGTGCCATGATTCGCCAATTTTTGTTTTAGAAAAAGTAAAATGAAAAATAAAAAAAACAATTAAAAAATTAAAAAACTATCTAGGATTTCGTGTCCAAGGATTTGGCTGATGGGCATGCTCTTAAGGTCTAGTAGATAGTTGTCAGAAGCTTTATCTGCTTGTAGGCGTTTTACAATTCTCAGATTCTTAGTCATCAAATCCTTTTCTGTGACTCTTGTCTCAAATGCCAACAACAAAGTTCAATGGAATGGAATGCAACATCTTGAATAAAGGTTAACATATATGTTAAACTCATGCTATCAACTAAATCAGAGATCATGGGTCAGAAATTTTTGACGACCTCTGTGTGTTTTCACCATACTTAATACATGTTCTGCCGTTGGCTTTCTGAAGCTATTCTCCCAGACGCAACAAGCTAGGGCTAGACAAAAACAAAAACATCACCTTAATAATACTTACTAAAGTTCATAATCCTGAAACGGCTAAACATAGCGACAAGCCGCCAACAATACAACACCCTTATAAACCGAGTAGTGCAGTAGGCCTGTAGGACATACATCATGTGACATCACAGTTTATTTGAACACAAGCTGGCATGAGTTCGATGCCCTGACCACACTCTCCAGTTCCTTTAACCACTCGAGTCTCTTCTCCGGTTGAATGTCTCTTTTGGAGAAGGTCGCTGTTTGCAAACGACTTGCATTCCTTAGGATGTATTGAGCCACCTCTCTATCATCTTCTTCTATTCCCCCTTTGTAATTTTCCCAAACTAATGTCTCGAGACGGTTAAGCAAACATTTAGGAACATATTTCGGTTGACTCCATCTCTTACAGACGCGTTGATTTCGCTTCCTATACCACACCACCTAAACCCAACAAGGGGAAGACACAATGTGTATAATATCATTAAAACCTCGAAACATGGAAAATTTTACGAAAAATGAAACCATTGTAATAATGCTTACACAAATGAGCTTGAGGACTTGCAAATTAGGAGAACAATCGAGCATGAACAGAAACAGATTCCACCACTCTGGTCTATCTGTAAATAGCTCTAAATACACCAGCTTGTTGAAGATTCTATTAGTGGGAAACTTAGTCTACACATTAACACGAGGCAATATTTTAGTACACAAAACAATATTAATAATAACAAGAAACTCAAATGAAACTGCAAAATAAACATTACTAGGTGCAATGGTAGCAAAATCTCCAAAGAAAGGCGTTTGACTGAAGTGAGAAATCCATAAATGTTCGCATAGATTCCATCACACACCTCAGTTATATGTGCCTCCACCAGCTCAGGCATATCCTCAATCAGAATAGAGGAGTCCTCATATTTTAACCCGTGAATCACCAGATATTTCAATGAAGGAGTATTTATTATAGGGAAAATTGGAAATTTAGGACACTTTGAACTTAGATTTGTCTCTCTAAGACTTTTATAAATATGTTTGGGAAAATAAGATTTTAATTTTTGTAAATACTATTATACCCTTAAAATTGATCAAATTTAATTGTTCTTAAAATATTAAATTATTATTTTTAGATTAAATTTAATATTCAATTAAATAATAAAAGAAAAAGGAAAAAAAAAACCTAAATCCCTAAATCCTTTTCACTCTTTCTTCCTCGCGCCGTAGAACTTCTCCCCTCTCCCATGGCGATTTTTCTGTTTTCTCCATCCATCCTTCTCCTTCTCTTCTAAATCAAGTCATCTTCATCTACCCATCTCTTCTCTACCAAAATCCATCTCTTCTATCCATCTCTTCTCCACCGAAATCCAACTCTTGTTTCTCACCATTGATTTGAACTCGGGCCAAATCCAAATCAAAAGGTTCTACGGCGCGATTGCGTTAATAACTCACGGTTCTTAACAATAGGTAATGTGTTTAACCATGAATTATCTTATGCAATTTTGTTTTGCATGTAGATTAGTTGTTACTAGTTGTTGTCCGATTGTTGTCCAATTGTGTATGTTTGCATGTAGATTAGTTGGTACTAGTTGTTGTCTGAGTGTGAATGTTTGTATATAACAAATCGATTGGTCATGAAAAGAGGGTCTTGAAATGTGATAGTAGTTGTTGTCCGATTGTGTAAAAGGAACACATAGTCTTTTTCTAAAATGTTGTTTCTGTTGTAACCAATGAACCGTATTACGCTTACATAAACCTTTGAATTGTTCTTAGACATGTCTATTTTTAGTTGTTCTCCGATTGTAATGTAGTTCAATTATGTTTGAAATCAATGAGTTCTTGTTTGATCTTGCAACTAACTATTTTTCATGGCTAGTAGGTATGGCTGAGGAGTTACCAAAGAGACTTTTTAAAGAGGGCGAGGAGACCCAAGTGAGTCAGATAAATAACAACTGCAGGATCGACTACATTCTGAAAAAGATTGAAGCGTGGTTGCCAAGGGAGTTGGATGTTCTGAAGAAAGATCCGACTTTTTATCAGATTTTCAAGCTACACGAGAATGGTCTTGGATACTCTGCGAGAGTGATACACAGCATGTTGTGTAGGGAGCTTGTGACTTACAAACATCACGAGCTTTGGTTTGCCTTTGCGAGGAGACCGCTTCGATTTTCACTTCAAGAGTTCCACGCAGTAACCGGGTTTGAGTGCAATACTGGTATCCCACTTGAGGAGTTTGACGAATGGGAAGATGATGACGGTTTCTGGAGCAGGGTGTTGAAGAGAAAAGATGGGAAACAGACACTGTTCAAGCTGTGGAATAACCACAAGTCAGCGGTTATGAAGTGGAAAAATGCAGATCGCATTCGACTGATCTACCTGTCCTTCATTCTTTGTGTGGTTTTAGCGAGAGATGAGAAAGCTAATATCCCCCTCAAATGGGTAAAGGTGGTCATGGATCTTGAGAAGGTTCGAAAGTATCCTTGGGGAGTTGCTGCTTATGATCTTCTCTTCGAATCAATAGCTAAGAATCGTGACAAGCTCAAGGATAAAACTACTAGTTATGTGTTAGATGGTTTCTCCTACGCCTTGCAGATTTGGGCAATGGAAGCTGTACCAAAGCTTGGGAAGCTTTGTGGAAAGAAACTGAACAAAGATTTCAAGGACGGTCCTATGTGCATAAACTGGAGGGGTGCTGCAAAGGTGTCATATGAGGAGATCAACCGCTTGGAGAACATATTTACTGCTGAGGTAATTTTTGATTTTTAAGATTAATAATCCGAGTTAACATTATTTTTGAGGTTCTAACTTTTTTTACGTTTCTTGTGTAGGATATCACCTATCCATACATCTCATGGAGAGGGAATATGGTTGTAGTCGCAAGTTGTTTTCACAGAGAGGATGTGAATGATGATAGAGTCAAGGAGCTGATGGAGTTGATAAGGACTAAGCATGACTTCAGTGACCATGTTTGGGCTTTCGAAGAAACTGCAGAGGTTTCTCTGGATCTGGATGATGAAGCAGCTGTGAATGCTGGAGCAGCAGAGAGTGATGAAGACTTTCACACTCCAAATGGATCAACTAGTGTAGGCGTTTCATCAAAAAAGAGTAAGAAGAGGCTCCCAGATCGTGGTATGGAAAAAAGGAAACATAAGGTTCTATCAACTGAACCTAAGCAAGCGGTTCTTAATGATGACATGAAGGCTTGGGTGAAAGAGTTATTTGAGAAAAATTTCAATGCAATGGAACTTAGGCTACAGAAACAGATGGATGAGAAATTTGAGACACTGCAGTCTGAGCTGAAAGGATCGCGCAAGGATTCTAGAGTTGAGCTCAAAGATTCCGGGAACGATGGACAGCCTACACCGACAAAGCCATCGACGAGCCAGCCAGAGTTGAGGAGGTCCACTCGTGGGGTAAAGAAACACTAGTCTTCTATCTTTGTGTGTTTGTTTGTATGCCTGCCTTTTGTTGTGTTATATAAGGTCTTTGTGTGTACTTGTCACTGGTTTGTATGTTTCTTGTTTTAAACTTATGTATGGTTGTGAACTTTGTTAAGATATTTCGGTAATGACTAGACATCTTGCAGTGTGAAATTTTGATTGTATTTTCACAAATTTTCTTGTGCTTAATATTATGCATTTAATTGATCATTTAGTTTCCCACTACAGGAAGCGTCTCATAGTCTACCCGATGGGAATTTCAGTGAAGCAGATGATATCTTCCGAGAGATGGGTACGCAAGGCGTTGAAAGGCTGTCTCAGCCCTCGTATGTGCAGGGTTTTGATCCATCTCAGCCCTCTAAAGAAGATGACTGGTGGACTCCGATGACTTCAGTCAGAGGTTCAAAAGCTAAACAAAGCAAAGGTAGTACAGCTCCACCTCCGTCGCAATGGAAGAAATGGAAAGGCAAAGGCAGTACACCCCAGCTTCTCGATAACCCATTGCCCGACGGTTCTCCGCAGTCGTCACTTTGTTATTTCTCCGAAGAATCATGGACAGGATTCATGGAATGGTGTCTGAACCCAATAGCTATAAAGATTGGTCCTTCATTCTTCAATTTGGCTGTAGCTACAAGGATAATATGTTCTCCACAATGGCTAGGCAATGAGGTAACGATTTCTTATACTAGTGTATTTGTGGTGAATATACCTTTGTAACACATCTTTGATGCTTCAATGGTGTTCTGTCCTCGTGAATATTCAGGAAATGGATTCAATTATGTTTATATGGCGAGTGAACACATCTTTCAAGCGTTGGACCCCAACCCGTGTTGCTTTCATGCCCTCCATCTTCTGCCTCCAAATGGACACTGAATTCAACAAGTTTGTCCCAAACAAAAAAGCTTATGAATTGCATGAGTTTCTTATTTCTTACGGCAGAGGAGAGCTTCCAGCTCATGGGCGGACTGATCAAGTCTGGGGTGTCGATGTTGATCGTCTCTATTTTCCTCAGTTTGTAAATGGTAATCGCCGATTCCTCTTCATGTCTTAAAATTTGTTTCTTCACTTACCAATTTAGTATAAATCCAACGCAGGTAATCACTGGATTGCTGTCTGCATCAACATCATTGAGAGAAAAGTGGAAGTCTTTGATTGTAATAGAGGAAGGAATAGGCAATACGTTGAGAAGTTTGCGGCTTTGATTCCGCGGATAGTGAAGGCCGTTGCACCACCCGAAAGCAAGAAGAACCTACTCGTATCACCATATTCTATAGTAGATGTACCGATGAAGGCGAGGTTGAACAAGAGTTGTGCTGATTGTGGAGCATACGCACTCAAACACTTGCAATGCCATCTCCTTGGTCTCGACCTCGGTTTAGTAGATGACGAAATCATCCAGGGCTGCAGACAGAAGATTGCTGTGGACTTATGGGAGGCTTCACACGATCCCATATTAGCTCAGGTTATGACTCAGTATGTTCCTTCACCATGGGATAAGCCTGGGGTCTATGACCTGTCAGAAGATGACTGATTATGAAACAAATGATAACTTCAGTTTATGTAACATAACTCTAGCTTCGATTATTTATGAAACAAATGACAACTTCAGTTTTATGTTTTTTTTTTTAATTTATGTCACAAGGTGACTGATTCGAAGAGAAATATAGTCATTAACGTGGATAAATTTGTTGCAAGAGAAATAAAACAGAAGAGTAAGAGAAATAAAACAGAAGATCAAGAGAAATAAAACAGAAGATCGATTTGTTTCAAAGGAAATAAGAAGAACAAAAATCTGAGAGACAAAAGAACACAAATAACAAACACTAAATGGGTACATCGCATGTTCCTCTCTTGTGTCCTCTGGTACCACAACGGCTGCACTTGTGCTTTTTATTCTTCTTTGATCCTTGAGAAGATTTTATCTTGTCTTCCACTGATTCATATCTTCTCTTTACTGGTCGACCAGCACTCTTTCTTGTATCTGGTGGTAATACCGTTGCAAGGTTAACCTCAACTGGGACTTTCCACTCGGACTGTGGAACTGCTATAGGATTAATGCTTTCCGCATAGGCAGTTCTCCATGTTGCAGTGGTATAAACATCATCAGTAAATCTGTGCACTTCCATACGTCGTGAATAAATTGCAGGAATGGCATGTCGGCAAGGTATTTTTCCTATATCAAACTTCCGGCATGTGCATGTTTTCCTTTCCAAATCAACATGACAATCATAAGTGTCACCTTTCACAAGCGATCTGAAGTTGTCTATGTTGTAAACCTGAAATCCTTTTGCCTTCACAATTCTCCTATCAATCTTTTTCTCCACCTCAACTGTTAAAGGATCGAGTTGCTTTGAGCTTAACAGGCGACGCTCATAGAACCATCGAGTCAACAGTTCTCTTATACAATCTAACAAAGGAATAACCGGATATTCTCTAGGCGTTCTCAGAACTGAATTAATCGACTCTGCAGCGTTTGTGGTCCTAATGTCATACCTGGATCCAGGGAAGAGAGAACGAGCCCATTTTCGCACATCAGCCTCACGTAGATATCTTCCAAGGTCAGGACTCATATCAAAAATTTCGGTAATGCGTTCCTGGAATTCAGTGCACCTATATGCCCGTGAAGCTTTTTCGACCAAGGCAGAAAACCCTTTTGTCTTGAAGAATGAAACCACATTGTTCAACAAATGGTGAATGCAAATTCCATGTGATGATTGAGGGTAGACAGTCCCAACCGCTTTGCTGATTGACGAATTCCTATCAGAGATAAAGGCTAAGTCTTGAAAATCAGAAATAACCACTTTCAACTGTCTGAAGAACCACCCCCATGAATCGTCATTCTCTGAATCTACCACTCCAAAAGCAATCGGATACAAATTAGAGTTACCATCAACAGCAGTAGCAACAAGTAGAACTCCTTTGTATTTATTTTTTAGAAAAGTTCCATCAACAACAATCACCCTTCGCATTGCATTGTAGAATCCTCTAACTGATTGCCCAAACGACATAAATAGATACTTGAATCTCCCATTCTCCTTAGTCTCATAATGAGTATGTGTACCAGGATTAGCTTCTTTGATCATATGCAAATATTTTGGTATTTTAGCATAACTATGATCTGGTATACCTCTAGTAGCTGCAATCGCAAACTCACGACTTTCCCAAGCGTGTCCATAAGTAATCTTGCAGCTATACTCCACTCTCATAAATTGAATGATCTCATTCGCTTTTGGGCCATCGATGGCATCATCAAACCGATGTTGTATCAGAGTCCCAATTGTTCTTGCCGATGCTGTTTTTCCAAATTTGCTTTTCTTCGAAGGAGCACATGAATGTCCTCCCTCGCACTTGTTGATCTTGAAATAGGTAGACCCATCCATACATTCTGCACGCACCGACCAGTTGCACAATGTATCCTTACATCGAATATACCACCATTTCCTTGTTGATTTAAGTACTGTGTAATCAAAATTATTCTTCATCGCAAAAATTTCGATTGTTGCCTTCAAGACCGCTTTGCTTCTGAAAATTTGATCCTTTGTCACAAAATCTCCTCTCCAAGATCGAGCATCCTTTTCACTATCTCCATCCGCAGGGACAAGATCCTTTGTTGTATCAGAAGACTCTTTTGACGGGTTGACAAAGGCTGCTCGATTTTTTTCTGGAATTTCCTCTTCGTCAACATTGCTTGAATCACACGGCTTCTCATTCAAGTCGATATTGACTCGTTCCTTTTGATTTCCACCAGTACCAGAGAACGTCACACACAAGGTTGTAGATGAATCCTTTTTCACATAGCCCACAAAATTAGATACTTGTCGATCGTTGCTAATAATAATGGGAGGATTCCCTCTTTGATTTACCATCTCATAACTGAACTCGACGTTAGCCGCATTATGTTCCACCCCGTAATCCTCACACACCGTCATCTTGAGATCCTCTAAAAGAGTACTAGTTTCCAATGTTACCATTCGACCACGCCTTTTTTTGTCTGCCACGAAACTCCACTCGTCATTGCAACTAGACATCCATTCACCGGATTTAACATAGGTTAGAACCATCTTGTATTGATAAGAAGAAAAGATGAAGATTTTTGATGAAGAAGGTAGAACACACAGAGAAAACAGAGAAGAAGATCGTGAGGAAGAGAGAAAATCGTGGCCAAAATATTCCATAAGATATTTAGGAAACATCTTCAACCGAATATGGAAGTTTCCATATTTTGCGGATTACCCAGAATATGTATACTACCTAAGGCAGAACACAGTAGAAAAGGTAGGGAACGTCTTATTTATCAAGCGTGACATAAGGTAACATGCAGAATTGGTTATGGCACAAAATCTGGGCAAGGTATGACAATAAGTTATGGTTATAAATCGGTATCTAGCTTCACGTACACCAAAGACATATGCTTTGATTATAACGTTACCAATACTACCTTGGTTAGAATAGACAAGAAATGTTATATTACGTTTCATACATCGGATCTATCTACCAAGAACACCTAGTATATGATTTCTAAACTGAGTAGATAACCAGAATGCGTATTCTATCTGTAGCTAGAAGATAAAATAAAATATGATTCCATTTTTAAAAAATAAAAACTTAAACATATATGTTGTCATACTTATGTTTTCTAGCATTCTCATATTTTTTAATATTTTTCAAAATTAGTTTACTATTTTTTGCATTAATAAAGGGTAAAACATGTCTAAAATTGCCCAAAGTATGAGAAGTCCTATATGGACAAATAAAAGTTCAAAGTGTCCCATTTTTCCAATTCTCCCTTTATTATATAAGACGGAAAATACTCATATTCTTCATCGTCAATAGCAAGTGTTAGACGCTGCAAGGAAGGCACATCAATAATGAAAGTCTTCACATGAGAATCATCTTGTGGAAACAGCAGAACCTCCAGATTTTGAAGAACAGGACAGCCAGATAGAAGGTTAACAACAGATCCAATGTCTTTGTATCTCACTGCGTAAAGGCGTAGAGTTCTAAGGGCCTTGAGACAAACCGGAAATGGAACGTCTACAAGGACACAAGGACCGAGTTTCAAGGTCTCAAGTGTTCCAGTCCCACAGTTGTACAAGCTTGGAGGGAACTTATACGGCTCATCAGAAGAGTCAACTTCGAGTTCCAACTCACGCACGTGGCGTGCGAACGCAATCCCAAGAAGTACTCCAATATCAACAGTGGAGTCATTTTTTAAAATCATTTCGAGATGCAAACTCTGAAGAAACGGAGCCTGATGTGAATGCAAGAATCTACAGACATTATTTGAAAATCTCTCGAGACCACCGCCACGGTAATAAAAACTTAGATTCGGCGTCATCTTACAAAGAGACCGCCATCGTTTGGACAAAACACTAGTGGCTACGGCATCTTTTGTCGGAATTAAAGACAATATCTGCAGAAGCAGAGCGTCCGGAAGCTCACTGATCATGTCTTCATTTCCCAAACTTCCACTAAGGCAAAACCAAACAAGAAAAGGATTACAGTTTATAAGTCACATTTTAAGCGAAACCATAGAACGGCTCATAGAAGAAACATACCATCCTTTCATCTTCCTTAGGGTTTCCATTGCGGTGGCTGTGAGAGTTATGATTATCCACTGGCGTCCTTTATTTATAAGTTAAACCAATACAAACCGGATAAAAACTGAAACATCCTTCGGTTCGGTTTTGTATCGCGGGAATATTTAATATCTAATCTTATTAAATACTTGTCTGATACAAAAATAAGTAATTTTTTTTTTGAATTAAAAAAAAGGAATTAATCTTACTTGTCAAAATAAGACAATTCTGAACTTGGCTTTAATTATAGAGAGCTATTGGTGTATGCATTTTTAAAGGATAAAACTCTATAATTATTGGTTTATAGGTCTTTAGAGCACCTAAATGGGTTCATAGCTTTTTTTTAAAATGATTTTAATTAATTAAGAAAAGTAAAAACTTTGTGTAAATTTGGGGGTCCATTGGTGAATTCCAAAATGGGGTCTTAGAAAAAAAAATTGAAAATAAAATTATGTTTATTGAAAAATAAATATTAAACATACAATATTTATTCTTATTCTTGTTAATGACCAAATTTTGCAAATACATTCTCAATTAAATCGTTCTTCAATGGTTCGTATATCTAAATTAAGACATCCATATGTTATACTGATCATTAATATAAAACATAAGTTACAAGCAGTATAATTTTCCATCTATATTACGTAATGTAACAAGTTTGTAGAAATTCCATTTGATACCATTTTCTTTGAACACAAGCTGGCATGAGTTGGAAGCCCTGACCACACTCTCCAGTTCCTTTAACCACTCGAGTCTCTTCTCCGGAATAATGACACGATTGGAGAAGGTTGCCGTTTCCAAACGACATGCATTCCTTAGGATGTATTGAGCCACCTCTCTATCATCTTCTTCTGTTCCCCCTTCGTAATCTTCCCAAACTAACGTCTCGAGACGGTTCACCAAACATTCAGGAACATATTTCGGTTCACTCCATCTCTTATAGGCCACACAATCTTCGTCCCTAGGCCAATACTAAGCCCAACAAAGAGTATATCTTTAAATAAAACCTGAAACTGATCAGTTGGAAAATTTTACGAAAGATAACTTGTAAATAATGCTTACACGATTGAGCTTGAGGACTTGCAAATTAGGAGAAGTATCGAGCATGAGCATCAATAGATTCCACCACCCTGGTTCATATGTAAGTATCTCCAAATACACCAGCTGGTTGAAGATTCTACCAGTGGGAAACTTGGTCTACACATAGTTTAGGCAGTATTTTAGTATAAAAACAATGTAATAACAACAAGAAACTCAAAATGAAATTGCAAAAAATAAATAAAACATTACCAGGTGCAATGGTGATTCAATCTCCAAACAAAGACGTTTGGTTGAAGTGAGAGATCCATGAATGTTCTCATAGATTACACCACACGCAGTAATATTTGCCTCCATCAGGTCAGGCATGTTCTCAATCAGACAAGAAGACTCATATGGCATTAGTTTATTTATCTTCAGGTGTTTCAACGAAGGAGCATTTATCACATAGGACGAAAAATACTCATATTCTTCATTGTTAGAAAAAAGTGTTAGACTCTGCAAAGAAGGCACATCGATAGTGAAAGTCTTCACATCACTATGTGAATGCCGCGTAACCTCCAGATTTTGAAGAACAGAACAGCCAGATAAAAGGTTAACAACAGATCCATCGTCTTTGAAGCTCACTGCGTAAAGGCTTAGAGTTTTAAGGGACTTGAGAAAAACCGGAAATGGAACGTCTAAAAGGACACAAGGACCGAGTTTCAAGGTCTCAAGTGTCCCACAGTTGTACAAGCTTGGAGGAAACCTATACAGCTCAGCACCAGAGTAAACTTGAAGCTCCAACTCACGCACATGGAGTCCAAACGCAACCCCTATTATTAGATTCATTACTCCCGTATCCATGGAGTCATCTTCAGAATTCATTTCGAGATGCAAACTCTGAAGAACCGGAGCCTGATGTGAGAGCAAAAAGATATTATCTGAAAACATCTCGAGATCCTTTGTGCGCTCCTTACAAAACTTGAGATTAGGCATCATCTTACAAAGAGACCGCCATCGTTTAGACAAAACACTAGTGGCTACGGCATCTTTTGTCGGAATTAAAGACAAATCTGCAGAAGCAGAGCATCCGGCAGCTCACTGATCATGTCTCTCTTTCTCAAACATGGACTAGGAATAAAATCAAACAACAAAACGAATCACGAGGAGTTGGTTTCAGAGTTTACAGTGTTAAGCAAAACCAAAGAACGGTTCATACATAGAAGAAACATACCATCCTTTCATCTCCGATAGGCAGAGAAAAGCTCGACTGACTTTAGGGTTTCAAAGGCGGAGACGGAGTCGGAACTGTTCTGTGATTTTATTCACTGGGCGTCTTTTATAAATTGGAACCATTTTTCGGTTCGGGTTTGTATTCCGTGAAACCGTGACTATTCATGTAAGCCGGTTTATTAATTTATTTAACTCTGGATATTTAATTAATTGGCCCTATTTTATTAACTCTTTAGATATTTAATATCTAATTATTTAAAATAGGATAGAGATATATAATAGCACTAAAACATTTTATTGTTCCGAAATTAATAAATACAGAGTTTTTTCATAAATATAATTAATTTAAAATTTAAAATATAATTTTATTTTGAGGTTTAATATTTAATGGATAATTTTTGATATTTAGGATAAGGTAAATGTCTTAAAAAAAGTAAAAAAATTTTATGACCGAAATAAGTTATATTAGAAAATAAAAATACTATGATATTCTTAATAAATAATAAATTTAATATTAATAAATATTAGAAAATAGATAATTTTTAAATGATATATCATAAATTATAGACTTTAAGCTTTAAATTCCAAAACCTAAATACTTCTCTCTCCAAAATCTAAATCATGAATCTGAATTAATTAACTTTAGGACTTGGCAAATATACATAGATTTTGATCTGATTAGTTTTCTATTTCAATTTGATCCTAAAAATATGGATATCCATAACTTTACGAAACAAAACAAATATTAAAATACAATAATCGTAAGAAATAACACGATCACATGTACTAATGCTTTTAAGAATAGATCTGATCCGTTATATTCCGTTATGTTATATGTAAATATATACATATATTTACAGAATTATATATATATATATATATAAATTATATAAGGACACAAGGACCAAGTTTCAAGGTCTCAAGTGTCCCACAGTTGTACAAGCTTGGAGGAAACCTATACAGCTCAGCACCAGAGTAAACTTGAAGCTCCAACTCACGCACATGGAGTCCAAACGCAATCCCTAGCAGTACTCCGATATCCATAGTGGAATCATTTTCAAATTCCATCTGGAGATGTAAACTCTGAAGAAACGGAGCTTGATGTGAAAGCAAGACCCTACATACGTTATCTGAAAACCTCTCTAGATCATTTGTGGGGTCGTAATAAAACCTGAGATTCGGCGTCATCTTGCAAAGCGACCGCTATCGTTTAGACAAAACAGATGTGGCTACGGCATCTTTTGTCGGAATTGAAGATAGTATCTGCAGAAGCAGAGCGTCCGGAAGCTCACTTATCATGTCTCTCTTTCTCAAACATGGACTAGGAATAAAATCAAACAACAAAAGAAAATCACGAGTTGGTTCGAAGATAACATTTTTAGAAACTATGAAATAAGCAAAAGAAGAAACATACCGTCGTTTCAACAGAGATGATACTCTGATCCATGATGTTTCCTCCTTTCAAGGGTTTATTTTGCTGCTGACCAAGAGTTGGTTGCCCTTGGTGTGGATGTTGCTTTCCAGATTGCTGCTGGGGTTGTCGCTGCCGCTGTTTTCCAGCATGATTGTTTGCTTTCGAAGCACCAGGCTGAGTATTCCTACCTAGACCATGAACCGGTAACTGCGGTTTTAACTGCTGTCCAATTGCTGTCATATTTGACGACAACGGCATCGATAATGGCTGTGACGACGCAAGTGGTTGCGATTGAGCACTGTTTTGTGGAGAAGATATAGGAGTAACTTGAGGTCTTGATGGTAGTGCATGTGGCGGCATAGCACCGGCTGGTGGAAACTGTTGCTGCTGTTGCAAATATCGCTGAGCCATTTGTCTTTGGCGAATAGCAAACGCTTGCTGCTGTGTCCCAGCTGCACGATTAGGACTCTGGAGAGGAGGATTAAGTGAATTGCCAAGAACATGCGACTGTTGCGACAGCTGGTGCTGCTGGGAAAGATGGCCTGGATAGGCCTGAACGGAGGGAATTGTTTGATTGGTAAATCCAGAACTCAAAGCCGGAATCCCCAGACCATTCCCTTTGCCAGCCTGCATCTGAAGCTCATGCAAAATCAGATGAACTGTTCACAAACTTACTCAAAATGGCAATTGGCCAATAATATTGGACAAAATCACAAGGAAAAAGATGGTTTACCCGCATCATATGCTGCATGGCTCCCCGAGGCCTTAACGTAGAGTTTCCTAGAGTTTTAATATTTCCAGTATTTGAAATTCCTCCCATCCCAGAGGAAAGCATACTGCTAGCGTTTGGCACTGCCAATGAGCTCACCCCCTGAAAACCAGGCCTTGACAACGGTGAGCTCCTATGGGTTCCATTTACACTCATAGCCTTTCCACCAGGTGGGCGAGGCCCAGGATCAGGTCCTGAGACAGCTGCTGGAGTTGATAAAGAAGGCTGCTGCCGGTTTCTACCGGAGACGTTATGTTGTTGGATTCGGTGTTGTTCCTCTGGTGGCAACGATCCTCTAGGAATATTGAATCTATCATCCCAGAAAGGGAAAAAAAAAAAGCCAATCACTTGACGTTAAAATAACCTGTGATTTGAGCTGAGATGCAGAACTGTATGAACTCAGACAAGAAAAAGGAAAAATACCTTGCCGACGCACTGGTTGGGCTAGATGTGGTTGACAAGTTGTTGCTAGAAGGATTTGCTTCAGATGCAGGAACCACTGATAACACAGGCAGTATTGGCAGACCTGAATTTTCAAGTGAAAATTCATCTTCACCTGACGTTGATGTATCACAGAGATCAAGGGGACTTCATCCGAAGGAAGAGAAGCAAGATATTAGAAAAGTGGAAAAGTAGTAAACAGGAGATACATAAATCTTAAGAAACACCAAAACTTACGTGAGGACACTTCCATTCAGATTATTTGGAAATACTTGAGAAAGAGCCATAATTTGAGAATTATGAACTGGTACTATCTGCTTAGGGTCCCGACCATCCTTCTTTAAGATGGGATGAAGCGACACCAAACATACATAAGCAGCAAGAAGAAACAGAATCAGGACCATTGGGGTTTTAATATTCAATCTCTTATACATTGTCCTAGATATTGTAGCAATGCCTAATAATTCATCATTTTGATAGATGCAGACAGAATAAAAGTGACGCGAGAGATGCCTTTCTCAGCATAAATTCCGCAAATGAAGAAAAAGTAAGAACATGAGTCAGATGTCCAAAATCGACACGCAAAACAAATTAGCAGCTCCATTTAAAACACTGCAAAACAGAATTCGGTAGGCTAAAAACCAAATGACATTCTCGGTAACAATTACCTCTACATAATTCTATAAAACCCCTCCAAATTTCTATAAGCCTAGGACTCCATATTGGCATACAGGAGGAGCTACGGTTGTGGTCAGAATACGTTGAATAACAAGCATAAAAACAAGTTTTCTAAATAAAAGGTAACCGCTAGGTGAACGGACCTGTACGAATCTTTGATGAAACTTCTTCCCAATCGAACAAATCGTCTCAAAATGGGACTTCAATGTATCTTCTTCCACCGGCCCTTGCAAGCGTTGAAACAACTGTCTTGCACTTCCCTGAGAATAACAAACCATTCCAGGGAAACCACAGGTTAAACTAAACATATGGGTAGCTTTAAATCAATGTCTCAGAATGAAAACCTTTGGGATGCCAGGCAAAGTGGATGGATAAGCCTGAGAATTTCCTGAGTCTTCTGCACTATCAGCCCCATCACCACCAGTTTTGTCCATTAGAATCCTATGCCGCTCCTTGCAATCACTTGGATGACGATATATACGCTGTATAGTTAAAGTTAAAAAAAAAGCACTCAAACTTTTTTCCAGCGCAATGGATAAGTGAAAAAAGAAAAACATTTACCAGCCCAATGTCATCATATTTTTTGTGAATTACCCAATTTCATCTTAACATTATAACATCTTAAGAAATTTCAAACAAGCACACTCTTACCTTAATTTTAAGAGTGCTTTTCAAAGCATCAGCAATGAGCTCCCAGTTAGGGCCCAGGTCATGCACCAGGACAATAAGCGCCTACATAGTGGAAAACAATATTTCAGATATGCGTAACGCAACCTACAATCTTTATATGTTCAACAGAGATAACAAATAAAAACCTGGTCCTCAAATAGTGTCCACGGATTTTCAGATCCATGTTGACCAGAAGAAATCTGCATAAATAAAGTTTCTAAGTTCAAGACATATCTTATAAAACACAAGATGGTAAAGAAGTGAGAAATAATCGGAGCATATACCTTTAAGCCTTTTAATTTTCTGCCCCTGTCCCGGCCCCCAATGAACTTAAGAAATTTGTTGGGGTTGGACATATTGCTCATCTGAGAAGCTGCCGGGGAAGGAATAGTACTGTAAAAACTATTCTCCAGTGATTGTTTGACAGTCTTTTGCTTCTTATGTGAACCATGCAGACCTTACAAAATACAGCTAAAATGTCATCGAGATCTCAATACGTTAAAATGAAGCAATCTGACTAAAAAAGAGATACATGCCAGCATAACATTGTAATTTGTAACCAAGTAATCCCAGAAGCTGTAGAATTAAATCCATCTGAACAACTTTCACTTTAGCTTTTAATGAAGATAAAAATTGAACAATTTAAGCAGTAATGACAGCTCCTAAACTAATGATACTCTAGCTACGAGGTGAAGCTTAGGCTTCCCCCAGTTAGACCTGACAGCTAAAGAACAACCCATGCAGTCATGCAACAAAAAGTTAAAAGCGGATACTTCACTGATACCATTCATATTGAGTTGTTTCTCCGGTCTCTTCTTACGGTGCTCCTGCCAAAAAAAGAACTCATTAGATTCTTTCTAGTAGATCTACCACAATTACCTACATAATAGCATAAAGCTTCCCATTTCAAGTAAGATTACTATCAATAACTACGACTCTAAGATGAAGAAAGGAAACAGGAAAGAGAAGCCAAGCATTAAAAGCCAAAGTCAAAGAGAAGCTTGCTCTACCAACATATGTCAAATTTATCATTTTAATAAGAAACTGACACTGCTAAAAATTTCTGTGGCGGTTTACTTAGTCATTTGTTGACGTTAACTTTCGAGATCTTTTACCAAAAATATTACCTTTTCACCATGGACCATTGAATCAAGATGCCAAGATTGTTCATATGCAGAGCCCTGTAAAGATGAAAATTGCATATTATCATGTAATTCCAGAATTAATAAAATATCTTCTATGAAAATCAAGCCAGATGTATGTCGAAACATATTGCAAACCAGATGAACCTTACCTTCTTCTTAGGTTTTTCTGATGTTTCAGCCATGTCACAAGGTAGCTGCTTCTCAAAATTACGACTAGATTCGACTTCAGTGCCTTTCTGAACGGCAGATCCACCATTCAAACTACTTTGCTCATCCTGAAAAGAACTAGTGTCCCCACTAGTGTCCCCACTCACAGTCGTATGCCTTGAAGCAGTGCGAATTCGCTTCATTAAAACTGAACCCGTATTGAGATTACTGGCAAGCTTGTTTCCCATCAATGGGTTGGAGACACCAGTATAGCTACCGTGTGGCAGATCAGCCCCATGATCATATGACCGAGCAGAATGATACTTCATCGAGTTTTTTCTTTTTTTGTGGGTTAAATTATTTGATTTCCTATATCTAAGAGCTCCAGGCATATAATAGCTACTCGTTTCTTCATCATCCTCATTATAACCATTGTATCCTGTATCTACAGTTGAAAAATAATAATATCAGTATCCGTTTATCCAGTATGTGAAGCTCAACTAAATATTTTCTGCATACCTTCTGCTGGATCATACGCTGATGTCTCAACCTCCTCCTTGATGCTACTTCCGGATTTCTGAGACGGATAATATTGTCAGATATCTTCAGAAAGTCACACATACATCTATATATATATATATTTATTTATATGCAACACCCAAGTAAGGCCCTGACATCAGAGTTCCTTCCAATATTTACTCTCACATACCTCACACAAGACAAGATGAGATTCAATGGACCCTCGGTAGGCTTCCATTGCACCAGATGGAACTGAATAAAATAAGCTTTCCTGCACATGAAAAAGATCAGTTACAATGTTATAGAGAGTTATCCACAAAGTTATTATTCAATCGAAAGGCTACAGAAAAAAACAAATGACGAATTTCATACTTCGGTAAGTGGATCATCCCAAGATGTCTCCACTATGCCAGGGTCACACATATGCTCAGGTGTCGACGGTACTGCTACTTGCAGATGGGGGGTAGAAGACTTCATAAACTTCAAAAATCTACGTGCATATTCGGTGATACCAGAAGCTGAAAATTTGTCGCCGCTATCGGACTTCAATTCCTTCACTGTCTCCTGCATATGATCCAAAAAATGATCAAAAGTGTAATAAGACTATATAAGAGTAACAAAGCCAGAACGAGCTCTTAGACTTCAAGATGGATGGGTGTTCAAAAAAAAAAAAGACTTCAAGATGGAAGACTATGCAACGAAAATCAGAGTAATCCAATGCCCAATGTCACCTCGATATGTGTGTATATGTGTGAGCGCGCCAAAGGAAAAGGAAAACCATATAGCCAGCATTGTCATAAGAAAACATAAGAAAGATATGTGAGGCAGTTGTATACCGTATTAGTTCCCAAGCTTGTCTCCTCATGCTCCCTAAGGACCTCCACAGAGTTCCAGAACTGCAAGACAGCATTAGCAAAGGTTGAAGCTAAGCTTTTCAGATTTCTGCGCTGAATTCGTTCCTCAAATTTCAGCTGAGAGGTAAAAGCAGCTCGGTGGCAAATCTGCATGGCAGCAGTCATCTTCCAAAGACGCTCCTAAAATTCGAGAAGTAAAAGTGAGTTAAACAGAATGCAATATCTTGACGTAGTTAAATATGTTCCAGTAACAGAAAGGCTGACACCATTCATACAGAGGGAGTACCCATATGTTCTTAGTAATAACCAGCATGGCAGTCCATAAAAAAAGCATAATTTTCATCTGATTAGATAAAATCAGATCAGAAAGATCAAGTACACCACACCTGCGCAAAATCATTTGCCAGCCATGCCATTTCTTCAAGGACAAATTCCCATTGAGATTTCGTACGAACCTCCGCTGGTAAGGTACTCAAAGATAATTCAGCAATCCGCTGTCTCTTTTCCTGTTAGTGTAGCATATCAGACATACAAGACAATGAACAAAAGAGTAACTAGAACTTTGTCAAAAGCTTGGCAGGGTGAGATCACCAAGCCAAGTTTAAAAAGAGAACCTTTATAATTCGTGCCTCCTCAAGGATAGTGTCCTCCATCAAAGTATCTGTCTTTCTTGAGCCATCGTCTAAACTATGCTGGTCTTCTAGTGCTGTAATGCCAGGTTCAAGCAATACATTTTTGCTAAATCTGCAAGGACTGGTTTCTGTAGCTGCCTGAGACGTTATAGGAGACAAAGAGCTGTCCGAAGCGTCAGCCATCCCACTAGTAACTTTAATATCAGTTTGCGGTATGCCCAAACCATCTTGTTGTTTGCTCTCAGATTCAGAAGATTTATTTTCATTATGCAGCGCAACTGTACTTATATGATCTTGACTTTCGACTTTGAGCGGTTTCGATTGGCTTTGATACCCAGAATTTTGCTCACTAGTAAGGATGGTAGATTCACCAGCCTCGTCCTCACTCTTTGTATTCGCCATTTCGCCAATTGTGTGATTCAGTGTCTCCTCTACTCTTGAAGCATTCTGCACAGGTATACTGTTGGAGTCAGATTTGTCCACTCTATGGAGATCGACTATAGTGTGTACATCTACTTCAACGTCGTTAGCATGAGAGGACTCTTGATCTAACCGTTTTTCCTCTACAGCTGCGCTATCTTTAGAGCATTCTTTCTCCCCACTGGGATCCTCAAGGCCATTCAACTGGCTAGAGTTAGTTTCCTGGCAACCAGTCATTACAGCACTGAGAGAATCTATAACTGTACTAGCAGAGACAACATGTGCTTTGACTCCAGTAACACTAGTCTCTCTGGAAGCCACATCTACAGAACTTTTTCTAAAAACGCTATTGACTTTCTCTTCAACAGGACTGTTTTCTGTTGTAGCAGTGCTTTCTCGCACAACCATTTCATCATTTTCTGTCTCTAACAAGTTGGTTGGGACTACATCCTTTGAAAGGGTATTATTACCATTAGATGTTGCAGAGGGTACTTTTTTAGTCTTATGATTGCCTGCTTCGGAATCAGAACCTTTGACATCCACAGCTTCTTTGCGAACTGAGAGAGACGTTGCAAGACCACCACCACGACTCTGAACTAACTCCGACCGTGCTGGATCACGGTTTATTTTCGATCTGTTTCTACGAGCATATGGGCGAAAAATGGCAGAATCTTCAGTCTCCTTTCTACCCTGGGAATGATTAACTTTGAATTCACAAGTTCTGCTCCTCTTAATACGATATTGTGAATTTTTGTCTCCTTCAAGTGACTTATTCTCAGAATCAAAGAATAAGAGATTATCAGCTGTGTTGGGTTCAGAAACTCCAGGTCTACCACTACTCTCAACAGAATCACCAGGTGGTGATGCAGTCCGGAGAAGAGTATCCTTGACTCCACTGTACGTGAAAATAGGAAAGAATCATGAGTTGATCCATGAACTCGGAAAAAAAAAAAACTAAACGAAATAAGAAAAAAAGAGTACCTCTTAACTACTTTCTTATCTGCAAGCGATGTAGATTGGACACTTTGTGAAGTAGCATAACCAAACTTAAAATCCAAAGGATTTCCACCCTATTATACAAGAGAGAATATTCAAACGAAAGAAAGACAAACAAGAAAAAAAGGTAATAATGATAATAAGTATTGCAGCATACATTCTCCAGAAACTCCAGTTCTCTCCTCCTTTCCTCGCGGACATCGTACTCAACTCTGTTGAAACAAGTGTTTTTTTTTTTTTTTGCATTACTCAAATTAGCAGTAAAAAGAAAAAAAGAAGACATTGCAATATACCTTAGGTCCGCTTGAGCCTTCTGAATGGCTTCTGCTGCTCCTTTAGTATCGCTTAGTCCTACTTCCATGGAATCAACCTCGGCATTTACTACAAAGATATCCTGCAAACCACTTCACAACTTTAGTAATGCAAAGAATAGCTACAAGTAGTAATCATAAATAGGAACCAAAGTTGTGGAGAAACCCTCAAATTAGAGAATTGAGCAAGAGTCACCTGAAAATGCAAACGTAAGAAAAATTAGGGCACAAAAAAATTAAAATTTTCTCCTCGGGCTGCTGCAATCGATATTTTTCTCCTCTTTAAACAGTTTCGAATCGAAGACGAAAACCAAATTTTGTTCAGACAAAAGAGGAATTCATCAAGGTTGAATTGCAAAAATTTTCCTCCCTCTCTCTCTCACAGATAAATTTTCTTCGGGTTCCTTCTCTTTTTCTCTTCGATGCAACTATGCGAATCACGCTCGCTCGGTCTGAATACTGGGCCTTGCGTTCTCTTTTGGGCCCTTTCTTTGCTCTTTTTCTTTTCTCCTATATATAAAAAAGAAGTTGACTCACTAAAATTCGATGGCAACGATCACATTAATCAAAAAATTTAATCTGCTGTTTTTAAAAAATTAAGGGTTTTCATGCACCATGTGAAGTGATAAACTTTTTAAAATTAAAATATATTTAAAACAAAATTTATTAATATTATATATTTTATTATTTTGACTTATATTTAATATAAATTTGATTTAATTAGGAAACACAATTTTTTTTAAAAAAAAAAATTATATTTAATAATATATATGTTATTTTTTAAAATTTCAATCTTAAAATATCCATATAATTTTTAAGATATTTTATAATATCTCGAACATGCAATCTAACTAGTTAATCTAGTGATCCGACAATTTAATTTAGATTTTTGAAAATATCCATATTTTAAAACATCACTAAACACCGAGACCAATCGATTGAACGGATAGATAACCGATATTTATATAAACCTATGATGTTCTATTTTTTATTTTATAAATTATTTGAATTTTTTTATTTAATTCATCTAAATCATTTGAAAGATAATTGTTAGAAATTATTAAAAATATAAGAGCTAATATTTTGTATCACTTGGACACAAGATTAATTAAAGTAATCATAGTGTTGTTTGGAAACATTGACAGTAATATAAAAAATGAAAAATATTATTTGAAAACATTGATAGTAGTATAATATAAAGGAATATTAGTGATTTAATGTATGTTTTAATAGGAAGTATAGAAAGGATAGAAAGTGTGTTTAATTTAAAAATTTACAAAATAAAACTTAGTCCAATACAATATTTATACTTTAACAAGATAGATCGTGAGTAGATGACTTAGATAGAAACAGATCTACTTATAGTTATTAACTTAGTCAAAACTAAGGCCTCGATTGGTATAGCAGATGATAAAGCAGTAGCAGTATGCTGCAGAAGCAGTATGCTACAGAAGCTGTATGCTTTCATTAAATTTTTTAATAAAGTGATTGGCAGAGCATTAGCAGTATACAATTTTAAAATTATCATAATAATCAGTAAAATAATATATTTCTTTTAAAATAATATATATTATATATATTAATAATATATAATTTTATTAAAAATAATTGATTTTCATTATGTAAATTATATTTAAAATTTATTTTTTGTAAAAATATCAATTTTTGTAAAAATATCAATTTTTGTAAAAATATCAATTTTTGTAAAAATATCAATTTTTGTAAAAATATCAATTTTTTTTTGATATAACATATTACTCATATATAAAGTTATAGTTATAATTTAATTAATTATTATTAAATTATAATTATTATTAAATAAATAATTAATTTAATTAATTATAATTTATATATAAAATTTTATTATTAGAGCACTAAATTACTCATATATAAAATTATCATAAAAGTTAATATATAATTTATTTATTAGTGTCTAAATAATATGTTTATATCGATAATATATAAATTATATTATGTTATGTTTGTTATTAAAAATAATGAATGATATATGTAATTATATAAATTATATTATATTTTAAATGTGAAATATTGTTCTTTTAAAAAAAATTATTATAATTTTTATTTTTATTTTTTAAAATATAAATTTATATTTAATTATAAAAATATTGTTTATATTTTTAAACAAAAATAAATAAATTATATATATATATTATTAAATTTTATATTTTCTATATGCAAATGCTCTCCCAAAAGTTCCATATGAGAGCGTTGAACAAAGAGCATTTGTAGAGCATTTGCATTTGGTAAATGCTTTTCTAAATGCTTCTTTGCCAAATATTGATTGGATAATAGAGAGCATAATGCTTATGCTAATGCTCTACCAATCAACCCCTAAGTATATTAGAAGTCTCATTTGACTGAAGACAAAAATGTCAAAAAAACTTTTTTGGGAATATGAAATGTGCTCCTTCAGTAAGATGAACAATTAATACTCTTTTTTCATCATTAAATGTTAATTTCGTCATAATTCTTCTTCTCTATTAAAAGAAAAGTATCATTTATATCTACTATAAAAAAATTATGTTTGACCATCTTATTAATATGACATATTAATTATTTATATTAATCAATAAAATAAATATATAATTGAAAAAATATTTTAATAATTAATAAAAATTTGTTGAAAAATTGTCTAACAAAATCTTACTAAGAAGTTTAAATATTTTTAGAAAATATGCATTATTTAATTTCGTGATTAATATATATAAATATCTATATTAATGTTACTAAAAATTAAAATTGTTATATTTTATAATTTAGTTATATTCTATATTATATTAAAATAAAATGCTATGTGAAATGAATATAAAAATATTTTATTTTAAAATTTTTCTTTTATTCAAATAAATAAAAAATATCACTCACTTTTAAAACATATTAAAGTTTTTAAATCATATAATATTTTTATACAAAACATGTTAACATATATTTTTTGTAACTCACAACAAATACATTATATACGAAATTTAATATGAATATTTTTTTATTTTAAAACTTACAACAATATATTATATAAAAATAATTAAAATTATATGATTATATAATTATACAATATATAACAATAGAATGTAAATCATATATATTTGAAAGGTTTTGTTATATTTTTATAAAATGTTCAAAATCTAGTTTTTAATTAAATGTTTAAATCAGACATCTTCGTTCAGAAAATTTAGGCCTGGCATTTTAATCTGGACCCGAGGACCCGGCCCGGAACCGACCTGAAATCACAGGTTTGAGTACAGGTCCGGGTATATTGAAATTAACCTGTTGGATATTTTTTTACTAGACCCGTGGGTACAGGTTCGGATTCGGATAAGACCCACTACCTGTCGGATATTAGTTTAACCTCCAAAGAAACTGCTCTATACCACGGGATCGATCGCTCCCACAAAGAGTCGGTCGATCCCAACGGTTGATCTCAATGATTAAACAAAAACATATAAAAGCACAGTGCAGAAACTGATCGACCTTGTCCAGTTCAGTTGATCTTCACCGATCGATCTTAGATCGATCGATCTCTATTTTAGATCGATCGATGTCGATCCCAAATAATTCTTCCAATATTTTTGAGTATGTCTAATATAGAATTGCATCTTCAAATTTTGGGTAGCAGGTTAAATTTTACCCAAATTACTTCAAACCGACCCGAAAATAATAGAACCTACCGAAAATAACCAAAAATTAGGAACCGAACCTGGAACCTTTAATACCCGAAATTTACAGGCTTTTTAACAGGTTTTCAAAATTAAGAATCCGAACTGATTCGGACCCGACCCGAAAAGTATAAGAACCTGTATGGATGTAAATCTCCAAGACCCGAAGGATCCGGACCCGACAAGACACGACCCGTACCCGGATGCCCAGGCCTAAGAAAATTTGACGGCCTCTGTTTTTCACCATACTTAACAAACATAATACATTTTCTTCCATTCATCAAATCGTTTTCTGAAGCTATTCTTCAAAATGCAAGAGCTACGGCTTAGATAAAAACGAATCATGAAACGGAAAACTGTATCACCTTAACAATACTTAAGTTCATAATTCTCAAACGGTTAAACATTGCGCCGTACTATAACTCAACATCTGAAAACCCTTATAAACCGAGTAATGTAGTACGCTTGCCGGACTCCCTGGTGATAAATCAGTTTATTTGAAGACAAGCTGGCATGAGTTCGAAGCCTTGACCACACTCTCCAGTTCCTTTAACCCGTGGAGTCTCTTTTTCGGATGAATGTGTGTTTTGGAGAAGGTTGCCGTTTCCAAACGACATGCATTCCTTAGAATGTAGTGGGCCACCTCTCTATCATCTTCTTCTATTTCCCCTTTGTAATTTTCCCAAACTAATGTCTCGAGACGGTTCACCAAACATTCAGCAACACATATCGGTTGACTCCATCTCTTATAGCTGAAACGATCGTGGATCATAAACCATTCCTAAACACAACAAGGGAGAGAAATAGCGTGTATACATTTTAAAAAAACTGAAACTGATCAGTAGGAAAATTTTGTGAATACTTGTAATGCTTACACTGATGAGCTTGAGGACTTTCAAATTAGGAGAACTATCAAGCATAAGCATCAGTAGATTCCACCACTCTGGTTCATATGTATGTATCTCCAAACACACCAGCTGGTTGAAGATTCCATTAAACTTAGTCTACACATACATGAGGCAGTAATTTAGTACACAAAACAATTTAAATAATAACAAGAAACTCAAATGAAACATTACCAGCTTCAAGGGTGATGCAATCTTCAAAGACAGGCGTTTGACTGAAGTGAGAGATCCATGAATGTTCTCATAGACTACACTAGAGACATCAGTAAGATTTGTCTCCACCAGCTCATGCATATTCTCAATCAGACAAGAGTCATCTTCTCTTAACCCTTTAAGGGTCAAATATTTCAAATGAGGAGCATTTATCACATATACTGAATACTCTATAAAATCTTCACTGTCAGAAATAATTGTTAGCCTCTGCAAGGATGGCACATCAATAATGAAAGTCTCCACAAAAGGATGGGAAAACTTCATAACCTCCGGATTTTCAAGTATAGAACAGCCAGATAAAAGATTAACAACAGATTCATCGTCCTTGAAGCTCACATCAAAAAGGCTTAGAGTTCTAAGGGCCTTGAGACAAACCAGAAATGGAACGTCTAAAAGGACAAAAGGACCGAGTTTCAAGGTCTCAAGTGTCCCACAATTGTACAAGCTTGTAGGAAACCTAAACGGCTCAGCAGAAGAGTAGACTTCGAGTTTCAACTGACGCAGACGGAGTCCAAACGCAATCCCTAGCAATACTCCAATATCCATAGTGGAATCTTTTTCAAATTCCATCTGGAGACGTAAACTCTGAAGAAACGGAGCTTGATGTGAAAGCAAAAGCTTGCATACATTATCTGAAAACCTCTCTAGATCATTTGTGGGGTCGTAATAAAACCTGAGATTCAGCGTCATCTTGCAAAGAGACCGCCATCGTTTGGACAAAACACAAGTGGCTACGGCGTCTTTTGTCGGAATTAAAGACAGTATCATCTGGCAGCTCACTGATCATGTCTCTCTTTCTCAAACATGGACTAGGAATAAAATCAAATAAGAAAAGAAAATCACGAGTTGGTTCGAAGCTAACATTTTTAGAAACCATAGAAATAAGCAAAAAGAAGAAACATACCGTCGTTTCAAATCCATTGGCAGAGAAAAGTTCAGCGTTATACTGCCAACATTAGGGTTTCGTTTCAAAAGCAGAGACGGTGAGGATTATTTATGATAACTTAGGTGTTTTGCCCGCAAATGCGGGCCTAAACATTTTATAATTATTTTATTAGTACATATTTTACTAATTGAAATATTATAATGCTAAAGTATTAATTGTGTTTTATTTTTTGAAACCAATAATATTTATACTTTTATTTAACAATTCTTACATATATGTCTTTGTAATTTATGTTCACTATTAAAAATAGTTTTAAATCAAATAATATTTTTTTAATTATATAAAATTAAGAAGTTGACTTGATTAATATTTACTTATGTATTTTCTATTGTTTTAATTTTTAAAATTTTATCAGAATATATTTTCAGATAACATCACAATATATATCAGAATTATTTTTATTTAAAAATTTATCTATTAGATTTTGGATAACTCTTATGATTATTATCAATTTTAGTTATTTATCTAATCAAAATAATTTAAATTTATTTTTATTTTGTATGTAATTTAGATATTTTCATTAAGAGTATAAACGATATTAACAACTCTAACTTTTAACGTAGAAGTTCCGTTGCGAAAAATCATTTCGCAAATAATAGTATAGATAATCATCCACTGGCATTTTTAATAAGTAAACCAGTACAAACCAAACCGGTTAGTTTTGTATTACGAGAATCGTGACTATTCATGTAGGCCGGCTAGAACCGGGTTTTTTGGTACAGTTGTAATTAACTCCAATTTAATAGATGTAATCGTATTAAATACATTGTCTGATTCAAAAGAAACAATTAAATTAAACTTGTCAAAATAAGACAAGAGGTGTTTGACCACACCACTGGCGGTCAAACCAAAATAATGAGAATCGCTTTCTTTCCCTGTCATCCATCTTTGACTTTTGACTCTTCTTCCCCCATTCCCCTCTTTTATCCGTTACGATCTCGCCACGTGTCGTTTCATTCCCCTCATATAAGTTCATAACGAGAGATACGCGCCGTTGGATCAATCATTCTTAGCTTCCGTCTCCGTCTCTCTGTTTTTTTTTTTTTTTTTACGATCTGTTGTTTTTTCTTGACCAAAACCTTTTTGTTTGTCTGTTTGTTAATCTTTCTCTCTCTCTCTCTCTCTCTGCTGTCTTCCTTGAATGTGGTTGAACACATCCGTACGATACTTGAATCTCACTCTTCCTCCGATTTAGTCTCTGAATCGTTTCTCACTTGTTTTTGAGATTTTCCGATCCCGAGGAAGAACAGTCTCCGAATTTTCTTAAAAGTATTTTGATAATTAGGGGTTGATTTTTTCAAGTGTGGTGTGATTATGATGAAAGCTTCGATTGGGAGGTTAAGGAAACTAACATCGCATAAGGTCGATGCCAAGGAGAAAGTAGAGCTCGTTGATACGGCATTGGTTGACGAACTCGCTCGTGCCGGGAAGGTAAATTTTCAAAAATCGTGATTTTACTAGGGTTTATGGTGTTGATAGTTAATCTTGAAGAAGAAGAATAAATAAATTCCTTGTTTGGATCGAGTGAATACTAAATTTAGAATTTTTCTCTAGTTTCTGGTTTAGAAGTGAAGAACAAATTTAGAAAGTTTCGAATTGGTAGCAAACCCCATGAACAAGCTGATAGGTTATTTAATGGAAGAAACACTATTTAAACTTAGATGCACTAACTTGTGATGTCTCATTAGGATATGCAAGACATGAGAGAATGCTATGATAGACTACTCGCTGCCGCTGCTGCTACTGCAAATAGTGCTTATGGTAAATAAACATTCATTTTCATATGTTTTTTTGCTGATGAGCATGAAAAATGGTCTGACATTCTATGGTTACTACTTTCCAGAGTTCTCTGAGTCATTGGGAGAGATGGGATCTTGTTTGGAGCAAATTGCGCCTCATAACGACCAAGAAAGCAGTAAGCGTTATTGAATTTTACTTTCCTTTGTGTATTAATAAGCTGTATTGTGTAACATTGGTTTCTTCTGTAGGTAGAATCTTGTTTATGTTGGGTAAAGTTCAGTTTGATCTTCAAAAACTTCTTGACACATATGTAAGCTGTTTGTTGCAAACACCAACTTTGCAAAATCTCTGTTCTTGACTCTGAAAAGCTAACCTTTGTTTTCTGGTTTTACTCTTCAGCGTAGTCATATATTCAAGACGATTACCTCCCCATCAGAATCACTTCTCAAGGACCTACGAACTGTTGAGGTATACCGTAGATTACTACTTTTGTACTCAAGAAACGCTTAACTTATTTTACTCACCCTTCTCTCCTTTTTTTAAAAAATGAGCAGGATATGAAGCAACAATGCGACGAGAAGAGGTTTGTTCTTTCTTTCACTAGTGAAGTTTTTTATTTTGCAGTTTGATAAACTCTGTTTTGAACATTTTTGTATACCTGTAAACTACTCAGAAATGTGTTTGAGATGGCGCTTGTGAAGGATAAAGGAAAGCCTAAAAGCAGTAAAGGAGAAAGACATATTTCTCCAGAGTCTCGACCTGCTTACAATGAATTTCATGAAGACGCAACAATGTGCATTTTTCGCTTGAAATCTCTTAAGAAAGGACAAGCTCGTAGTCTCCTCACGCAAGCAGTCCGTCACCACACTGCTCAGGTAAACATCAAACTTAATTACTTATTTAGATTGTGGTCTTCTTATTCTTATGTGTTCTTGATTGTGTTTGTTCTTATGATTCTTTTAGATGCGTCTGTTTTACACTGGAATGAAATCGCTCGATGCTGTAGAGCGTCACGTAAGAGTTTCTGCAGAGAAGCAACACATCGACTGTGATCTCTCTGTGCATGAGAACGAAGTCGAAGGTAGTGAGAATGATGATGATGATGATGATGGCCAATACAGTAACAGTGAAGGAGAAGTCAGTCTAGCGTACAGAGAAAATGAACAGAGGGTAGACGCTGCTTCTATCTCCCCAACATGGGGTTCAATGAAGGTAAGTTGAATCTGAAAGTGACAAGGAATATGACTTGGCGGTTTGATCTTATTGTCTTCTGTTTTCCTCCAGATGGAGGATTCAGACCTCTCGTTTCCTCGTCCTTCTGTAACAAGAAAATCAGCAGTATGTCTTTCCCTCTGATATATATAACCATTTGACATTTTTGTGACCAAACTTGCTTCAACCGCTATAGTTTCATTGGTCATTCTAGGTAAATGCTGATCACAGAGTGACCAGCCATTCAGCTCCGTTGTTCCCGGAAAAGAAAACACAGACGAATCCATCTTCCAATACTTATGTTTTACCAACACCAAGCGAATCAAGGTACTCAAAACCGGCTTCCCAAGCTTTAAACCCGAGGCCAGCAAACCACATATGGCATTCATCTCCGTTAGAACCGATAAAAAGCGGGAAAGATGCTGAAAACAACAGCCTCTACGTCCGCCTCCGTCGCCCTTCTACAACCGACAAGCATAATCATCATCAACAACAACAGCAAGCAGCAGTAAGACATGCATTTTCCGGACCGATCAAACCCTCATCGTCAAAACCAGTCACCCCCACAGACACGTTACATCCTCCGAGAGCCTCCCCTACAGCTTCACCTCCTCCTGCTTCTTCCCCGAGGCTGAGCGAGCTTCACGAGCTTCCAAGACCACCAGGCCACTTTGCACCACCACCGCCAAGACGAGCCAAATCCCCTGTTCTGGTTGGTCACTCGGCGCCTCTAACCGGATGGAACCAAGAAAGAAACAAAACGTTTACTCTTGCTCCTCCTTCCGCTACCAACATTGTGGCATCGCGCCTTCCAATTCCTCCGTTGGTCGTTCCTCGAAGCTACTCTATACCTTCAAATAACCATAGAGCTGTCGCTCAACGAGCCGTCGGAAGGAACGAAGATAGAGTTGCATCCCCACCGTTAACACCAATGAGCCTCTCTCGGCCGCTTGAGTCCACGGGAGTTGCTCAGACCACTCAAATCAGAGGTAAAACGCATACTTTGTTCATTGTTTAAAACGTCATTTCTGCGTTTACATGAAAAGATTAAAAACGCGCAAACGCAAATGACTGTTCTTCCTCTTTACGTTTCGTTTGCATTTGGCGTTTAAAATGACACTTAAAATGGATATTTGAAATACAAAAGCATGCACACAGTGCAAGGAATTGATATTAGTTTTATTTATCTTGTTGTGGATTTATTGAAACCTCCATAGGTTATTAATTTATCTTTGCAGGAGTAGGAGAGCTGATAGAACGATGAAGAAGCTGCGTTTGTCCAAACCGGTGGTTGTAGAGAATCAGAGATGGCCATAAGTGAATACAGTAGTTAGTACTTAGTAGTATTCTTTAGTTGGTTAATTTTGAAAACTCTATAAATTTTTTATCCTTTGTAAATCTGAAGTTCTGTTCTTCATTCTTACATCCCTTCAATTTTTGTCATTAATCTATATATTAATATTAAAGTATTACATCCGAGATTTTAATATTTGAAAAAAACAACACAAAGCGTAACGCATAAATTTCCATTTATACATTTTAGTTTCCGGAAAATATTTTTTTTTTTTAAATAAAAAGTTATCATGTTGAGCTGAATCGAGAGAGATACGTGGCGGATATCTAGAGAGAGTAGAGAACCGAGTTTCGTTTGGTCGTTCGTCAATGGAGACGTCTGCCTCTGCTTCTCTAACTTCCTCTGGACTCGTTCCTCGTCTTCTTCTTCTTCCTCCCTTGTTCTATCCTCAAGCTCGAACTACTTCATGTTCACCTTTACTGTCTTCTTCCTCCTCTGTTAAACTCACTTCTTCTCACCGACGCATAGCTCCATCTCGGTGTCTTGCCGATCAGTCCGCATCCACCGGTTAGTTTCTCTTTAATTCTCCTCAATAGTTTCAATTGCTTAACAAGTGTTCGACGATATGTCTGATGCTGAAATAGTTATATTTTGTGTTCATTGTTTTGTTGGGTTTAGGGGTCAGTGTTGTTGATTCGGATCCCATTGATGCTGTTAAGGTGAGAGAGTCTTATCACAGAACCAACTTTAAGCTTTGCTTTCCTCTTACTTTTAACTGTGTTTCCGTCTAAAAACGCAGAGGAAAGCTGTGGACATATCCCCTCAACTGAAAGGAGCTTCAATATTTCTGGTTGGTAAGGGAAAGGCTTGGCTTTGGATTTAAGCTCCCAGTGACTTGCTAGGGATGAATACTGATGTGTGGAGCTTTAAAAATCTGGTGTAGGGATTAATAACCACGTTAAAACCAACTTGGGGAAGCTTTTGGCTGAGTCATTGCGATATTACTACTTTGATAGGTACGTTAGATAAACTCTCTGTTGTTTGTGTGTAGCATAGCTCTTGAGATTACCGTAATATCTGACATTCTTATTATTTATTCTTTGTTTTAAATCTATTTACAATACGTATGGGGTGCTTGTGAAATCCAGTGTCTTAGCTTATATGATAAATAGTGTTAAGGTCTCTTTGTTTGTCCTTTATCAACAGAGGGTTTCCCACCTTAATTCTGCTTGTCCTCTTGATAAATGTACGATGAATATTCCACTCACACTATCCCTTAGTTCATTTTTACTCTTATTGTGTAGTGATAATTTGATCGCGGAGGCTGCTGGTGGAAATGTGTCCGTTCAAGGTTTAAAGGAGGCTGATGAGAAGGCTTTTAAGGAGTCAGAGGTAAATTCTATCGTTTGATCAAATGCATCCTTGGTCCAGTTTCTGAAAGAGGATTTGATCTCACTTAGTCACTTATAAAATTTAAAATAGATACTCAACACCCATCTAAATGCCATATTGCTTTTGACGATGACTCTAGTGTGCTTTTACAGACTGAAGTGCTGAAGCAGCTATCATCTATGGGTCGGCTTGTAGTTTGCGCTGGAGATGGTTCAGTCCAGAGCTTGGCAAATCTGTATGTTCTATATATGTCGCAGTAGTTTCTCTCGTTTTAGAAGACATACACACATACTGCTTAAACTTTTTAAATCTCTCCCGTCTGTTCTCTTTTTTTGATCGTATAAGTATTTGAACAGTGCACTTCTAAGACACGGGATCTCCATATGGATCGATGTTCCTCTGGAAATCGCAGCTAAAGGAGATGATCCATTCAGCTCAGAACCTTCCCCTGAGGTCTTTCTTCTCTCTTTCCTATGACCTGCTTGAAGTTTCTGTAAGTAGTGTTATTACAAAGAGACTTAACTTTCATGATGGATGATAATGAACACAGTTGTTTGACGCACTAAAAGCGAGTTACGAAAAATCAAGAAAGGGTTACGATACAGCAGATGCAGTTATTTCCCTTGAGAGTAAGGTTTTTATTCACATGTCCATGATGGAGATGATAAAGATTTTGTGAGTGATGCTACTTTTTTGTTCTTGGAAACAGGAATAGCTACAAAGCTGGGATGTGAAGACTTGGAAACCGTAACTTCTGAAGAGCTTGCTTTGGAGGCAAGTCTTAAACTTTATGGTTATTATTTTTTAATCATTTTGACATATGCTTACAGTTGTGAAATGTTCTCTGAAATAATGTGTTTGTTCTTCAGGTCCTGAAAGAAATAGAGAAGTTGACGAGAGTGAAGAAAATGATGGAAGAAGCGTCTCGACCTTTCTAGGTTGACATTTACTCACTTTATCATGCATCGCAAAATCTGTGAATTTTTTAGGGAAAATGGGCAATTAATTCCCCAAGTATTTGAAATCGGCAGTTTTAATACTCAAGTATTGCTCGCGCAGAATTATTCCCCAACTAATAGTTGACTGCGCGAAATTAGGAATGAAATAGTCAAACCGTTAACTGGTTAACGGAAAGATAACGGTTGACTATTTCGTTCCTAATTTCACACAGTCAACTATTAGTTGGG